CTGCTGAAGAACTTGTGTGTGAACAAACATTCTTCACTTTCTACCTACAAACTTACACCACAGGTTTCAATAGTTGTTCTTTAAAGTTCTCATATCAAAGATGAGCTCTGTTCCTAACGATCACAAACAGCTTTAATATCAATGTTTAAAAATGAACAGAAATATGAAATATGTCTCAAATACACTGTTAAAATCACTGAAGTATAGCTTTCTTGATGGGTAAGATCAGCTTTAAGTAAACACAAAAGCCACACTATAAATCAGGGCTTCTAGCAGTTAGGTTAGCCAGAATCCAGCTGACTCAAATCCTAAAGCTCTGCTAAGCCTCTGCCTACTTTTGAGCAACTCATCTCAAAGTCTGACCCACGACACTTAAAAGCATAAGAATTAAGAGCAAAAAATTAAGAAAGCTCTCACATATTTCAGACTACAGGGCCTTTTGCATTACCATAGCCACTGCAGTCTTGGGCAATAAATAGCTTTCGATACAAGTTCCACTCTTAGGTATGTTCCAGGCAGTTCTGTTGATAAATTTTTATTACTGGCCCATGCCTTATTATTCTGGCAACTTCAAGAAATTATGGCATTTCATATTGAAGTGCAGGAAATATTAACTTCGATAAAAAAGTAAAGGTCATCAAGAATATCAATTGAGAGTTTAAGGCTATTTGTATATGATTGTATTTCATCCACATTCTCTGCTGGTTTTCCAACTCAACTCCTCAAAGTAGAACTAATGCACCAAAAACATGTGCTTTAACATTTCATATGCCCTCACCACCACAAAACTGAACATATCAGTTCCATTTAAGCCTAATGTCAAGCACCAAAAAGCAAATTAGATAGAGGTTACTGATTGTCTACTCCATCATTAGCCAATTTTGATTTTGCCTGTGCCTGGTACACCACCAGGGTTTTCTGTCTGAATACAGCAATCCTGTTGACTGTTCCCATTAAGATGTCAGTTCCTTTTTTCCACATCCTACTGAAGAATCAACTCATGATACTTGGATAACAGCAAGTGCCAAAGAAATGTTCTTCATTAAGACCTTCCTTAATGCATAAGAAGTGACAATGAGAAATAGCGAAGTTTCCAATTACTCAACAGTGCACTGCTGGGTTACTTCTGCCACATGCCTAGCCCTAGTCCTTCAGGGCATGCTTAAACATTTAGAGCCTTCAGATAACCCACAGCTAGCATAGAATAGTCACTTGAGAACAAGTCCAACTAGAGCTCTGGAATAATACCATCTACGCATCTCAGGCACAAAGGCATACCACCTGATGGACCTCCAAGTAATTCTCCACTCCATACTTTATTTCCATACCTATACTCGACAGGAGACTAACTAAAGGATATTAGAAAGTCCTACAGCATATCTAGATTTGTTCAGTGTCCATATGAAGCACCTAACTCCTCAGCTGAATGTTCACCCAATTACTTTTTTACAGTATCAAGCACTAGGTAAACATTCCGGGATTACCCAGGGGTTTTTCTTCTCTCCAAAGAACGACATTAACTCCTCTGATCAAACCTGCCTACAGTTTTTACCTAGATGAAAGAAAATTAAACAAATCCATCCTGACTCTCAAGTACGCTGATCCAACAGTGAATTTCCAGCACTATGAGCACCAAGAAGACTGAGAAATCAAACTGGTGTATTTCTGTTCAGTCTTGGCTCATCAGATTGAGGCTGTTCCAGTAAACTTAACTGCAAGTTCAACAAAATTCACAAGCAGTCATTCAACAACAATAATTTTAAACCCAGCTTCAGCTCCTTAGAAAAATAAATGCTTGAACTGTTTCAGACAGCATTCCCAGAAGGCAGAAGATACAAGGGGAGAAAAGCAGCACTTAACAAGTAAAATGTACTTCTCCCTAATCACAGCCAAAACTGTTAGAGCTGAAAACCAACAGTATGTAAGAAGCAAAGCATCTGGTTAACATGCTGCAATGTTATCCTTTACTGAAAAAATACTGCCAGGGTAGAAATCTCAATTACCAAATTCTGTTGAGATGACTATGAAAAATTATGCTCAGCTAAACACCAACTACACTGCATGAGCATAAATGGTTCCAAATGCAAAAACTTAAATGTTTGCAGAACACAGATGATAGAAGCACAATGCTTGTCAAAATCACTTCATGTTCTAGAGGAAGTTCTCTCCAGCTCCATATAGTTCCCCCAGGAGAGTTCATCAGTGTATTAGAAAACAGGGATTAGGTAAAGCAGCATACTGCCCAACACTAAAGAAAGAGGCGAGTATTAGCAACAGCAGTACTGATACCCATGTTAGAAATGGTAAGAAACCATTTATGGTAGAATTTAGGAGGGGTTTCCTTGTTAATGTGGAATGCTTAAGTCTTTCAAAACTACGTACAGACACTCACATTACAATGTTACTTCTGTGAGCAAATAAGAAGTCTTCTCTTCACTACTGTTTACATTTTCCAGAAACACAGCCCAGATACCAGGTGGAGTAGCTACTCATTTAGAACAAGCAGCATCACCACATTTCTCTATGCTCTATAAATTCTGTGAAACACAAATTTACTCACTTGCAAGTCATTTTCCTTCTGAGACTGTACAGACTCTCCTTTATTACACGACCTCTATGAATGAGAAAAAGCAAACACAATGAGAAGGTGAAATTTAACACGATTAACCTGCAACCACGAGAACAAAGGGAGTAAAAGTGCCAGCTACAATTAACTAGAGGTCTCAACACTGTCTTGATCTGTGACAGCTACAGCACTAGTATCCATCTGACCTCTGGCCACCTCATTATTTCAACAACTCCAGAATCTTTCAAAAGGATGTGCCACTGAGACCAGGCCACTCCTGTAAATGGCCCGAGAGCTGGTTTTCAGGTATGTTGTTACTGCTTCCCAGTATTTCAAAACAAGATTTCAGTGCATCATAAAGCTTAGAGGAACATTTTTAATTAAGAGAAAATTAAGCCCTGCTGCATACCATCTGGGATATTACTCTTGTAGCTAAAGCACTTAAAAGATGCATTATAGAGATTACAAAAATGCCTTAGGACTATTAGAAAAGGCATGTTATGAAGCTTGCAAAGCACCTGCTTTCTTGTCTTATATTATTTTCCAAATATCTTGTGACTAGATTGTCATTACTTGTATGCTGCCTAGGCTATATGTGCAACATATTACTGGATGTGGAAATCCAAGGCTTTTCTTCACATGAACTGCTAACATAATCTAAAGATGTCTCGGTAAGAACCGCAGTGAACTAGCAAAACTTTAACAAATCCCATGCATAATGTATCATGCTGGGATTGTTAACAGTCATTACAAAGCAGTTTCCGAGTACCAAAGCATACCTTCAGCAACTGAACCAACAGTGGCACATGCTTTTAATAGAGCTGCACATTTAAAATTCAAGTTGTACTAAAAACCTTGTCCTTTAAAGGGCTTGAAGGTAAGAAGAGAAAGCAAATATTTGCTTAGAATTAGCAACAGTTTGTGGCTGCTATTTATGTTGCAATTCCACCGCTGACTGTTTAAACCAGACTAGCCTTAGAGGCCCATAAAGGTGGCCTTTATCTCCACCTTCTGAACAAAACCATTTGATTCACAGAACCGTGTGCATACCTTTCTGTTCCAAAGCTCTAACATGTCCAAAACAAGGGTGGAAATATGAACTTGATGGAATACAGTTAAGCAACACCAGCTGCCTTAAGTACAATACAACAGGCTAATGGTTTACACAAGCTATGTAGTTACAGTATTTCAGGAGCTATAGACAAAGTATAGTTTACATGAATCGATGGTCTTTCAGCAAATAATTCCCATTCCACTAGGATAATAAGTTTAAAACAAGACAATATGAAAAGTACTATCAGTTTATATTCCTTTCAAGGAAATTATTAAAGTCAGAACATATTCACTAAAGCTAAATGTGTAACTACTCAGTAGTATTAAAGAGGCCTCTCTGCACAAGTATGTCCTACATCAATACCACTCTTGCATCTTGAACAGTCAGAAAGTTACTCACCATCCAGGAGTCTTTCCTGATTAATGGTGCTCTCAGAATGGTTCAGTTCATCAGAAGGTAAGCAGATTAGGCTTTTCCCTAAAACCTGAACTGGCATCCACTTTGCAGAAGTCCCACTGTACGAAGAGCTAGCCAGTTCTAAGAGTCCACCTCAGATTAGAGTTGGAGATAGCCTAATGGCATCTACTGCGCCATTAGAAAGAGACAGTTACGGATGTGTACTGCAGAGTCATCAGAAAGGGAGACTTCTGCAGCATCCCTTCCTCTTTTCTGTTCCCTCAGCATGGAGCACTAGTGTCCAGAGGAGAACACAGTAATTTGTAAATAACTTGCAAATATGAATGGCAGCTTGGAGAGGATCAGTCTTCACAAGTGGCCATGTACTCAGCCTAGAATTAGGGAAGCCTCCAGGTACGTGTGGTCAAGTAGAATGAACTAAGCAGGATACAATTTGATGTAATAGAAGTTCAAGAACTTAAGAGTTAAGGGTTTAACAGACGTTAAAGTGGTCGGATTTGATAGTTTTCTGACTGCAATCACCTACAAGCACAGCAGTTCAAAGTGAAACATCTCATACACTAGGTATTTGATCTACAGGTTTAGCTCATGTGTTCTTGGCTAAATCAAAACTTCAGTTTTTCCATAAACTAATAGCTCACTCCAACTTATGTCCAATTCCAGGAGCTATTTACTGCCACAGGAATGTGGTTTTAATTTCCCAAAGAAGAGAATGATTGAATAACTGCTGGAGGTTTTAATCACTTGCTCTGTATGGAAATATTAACTAGAAATAGCCATGTGTTCTACATCTTTATGATTTCTTAAAGTATTTGTTCAGTGCTTCTTTTCATGTAGGAAGGTTTGTTCTCTAAGCACATTAAGAAAGCTCACTACAATTTTAGTAAGGGAGGGCAGCTATATGCACAGAGACAGCAGAAGTTGTTGTAGAGCCTACTTTGGGATCACGTAACTTGATTTTAAGACAGGAAGCTTCAGGTGTAAGATGAAAATCCTAGAGTGGGAGACATTGCACATTATCTGATCTGTGCTCAGAAAATGACCAGTGTTTATACATCTGGCAGTTTGACACAGAAAATTGAGTTCTTAATCATTTTCTCCCTAAAGCCCCAAATTTATTTCTCTGGTAGCTGGAACAGCGCTCTATCAAAAATCCCAAGTGATGCTTGGCAGAAGTGCGTGTAGAGGAACTGGCAACTTCCCCCCCCCCAAACCTTAGCTCTGCCCACAAATATAGTCTTAGATTGTAACTCAGCTTCAGCAGTTTTCAAGACTTCAAAATACTGCAATACTTGGATTTAGACAAATTCCAAGAATTACAACATCACAAGGAACTGCCTGAGAGGTTAGCAGCAACCTACACAGGGGAAGCTTTTCTTAATTCTAGAAGCTGTTAGAAGACATCGGTTTGAATTTCAGGGTATGGGAACACCAGCAGTTTTAGATTCAGCAATAACTATTTCTGCTTCTAAGAATCTGCTGTCAATCACTGATCCCTGCCAGACCTGAAGGGATGGATACTACCTTGCTGAAGTCCTAGAATCTAATATGTGAAGCAATTCCCAGTTCAAGCCCTACAAAAGCCACAAAGACATCTCAAATCCTCATCATTTCAAGTTACCATTCTCTTATGAGGGAGCAGAGGAAAGGAAGGGGCAGTACTTTGATATTTTGTTATTGCTGTAAACATTCAGATGCGCAGACAGTAGCTGGTGCTACTTAAGTCTTATTTTTAAACAATGAAATCCAGTACTAAAGAAAATGAAAGCTGTAGAGAGTGCTCCAACTTCAGAGATCTCATACTATACCGTGAATCGTGTCTGTCACCTGGAAACCAGAGTGCTCTAGGCACGATCGCATGGGCAAGCCTGCAGCAGAGAACACATGCATATACAACTAAAGTGGTACATTACCCCCAGAACCCCTTAACTCCACCCAACACAAATATATCCCCGTAAGAGGTGCTTGGTTTCTTTCAAGCTGTCTGCCAGTGCCAGGGATTTGTAGTTACTCCATGCTACAAACAGACATGGACACCAACAACCACAGAAGACGTTGATCATTACAGTTACACAGCAGTCTGCATTTTATTTAGTTACAAAAAATAAAAGGCAGCAAGGCAGGTATGGAAAAAGATTTACCACAGAACCGTGGCAACCATTTATACTTATTTTGTGCCTGCTCACACGGAAATTGAGAGCAGAGAGGAACATTAGGTATACTGGTTTGGCTTTCCTCGTTTATACACGAGTTTTTGTTTTGGCTGTTGCAAAGTAACAGAGCCCCAGTGAATCAGAGTTCAAGGTTCTTTTGACATGTGTAAGAGAATGGGAATCAATCCCCAAGTTACCTTTTGATAGGTGAACTTCAAAGAAATCCACCTAAACTTGAGCTTTTTTTAATTGATGCTATCTCATGTTTAAATCCTATCAGTATTTCTTAGATGTGGCAAGTTGTAGGTGTTCTGAATTTAAGTAGAAACACTACAGTGATTGGCATATGGAATCCAATATTATCATATATTGTTGGAGAACCTTTTGTTTCAGTTGTTTTAACATGGACATAGCCAACAGTTAAAGACAGTTTGTTGTGAGGAAGTTTCACTTTCAATGCTCCTCTTGATTTAGCAGCTAAGCTGGAGCAAGAATAAGTGAAGCAGAGTAAGGCATTTCCCCTTTTTTCAGGGTAGAACATATCTGCATTGTGCCTCAAACATTTGAGTTTTAATGTGGTTAGTACTTCAACCTGTCACAAGCACAAATACTTGTCTTAAAAACAACAGTTCTGCTCAAGGATATATTCCAGAGAAGTCCTTGATTTTTCAAAACCCATGCCAGTGCAACCATTCATCATAATGGCTGAGCCAGCTCAGTTGACGTCCCCCCAACTCCCCCCCAGAACAGTCATGCACACAAAAAAAACTGGCTTAAACATATCAGCTATGACAGAGGAAGGCACAAAGCCTTCCCTGTGTAGCAGCTTCAGCCAACTGGCATGGTTGATATTGGATGAGTTTCATGTACTGACATTTGTGTCTTCCAAAATTCATAATAAGCAAACTGGGGCTACAGTCAAACTGCAAACACAGTTCCTTTAAATGGTGGCTCAAAAAATTACGGTGCTAGTATCATTCATTAAGTTAGTATCAGGTATCTATTCTTCTCTTCAACATTTTAACTTGTGTCTTCTGTACGTACAACAATTTGGTGCAGATTGCTATAGATCTATAGTATTTACAGTAGAGAGCAGCTGACATTAGCACTGGTTTGTGCTCCAATTTCAACAGAAAGGAAAATGGACAAGAGTTAAAACATGCTACAAAGGTTCAAACAAACAAGTGGTAACTACTAATACCCAGTGGCAGTTACGATTAAGTCATCATTTTTAGCATAATGTCTCAAAACTCAACTTAAGCAGTGTCCCTTAATTTCTACACAGCTTCAAACTTAAGCAATATTACTAAAAATATCAAATTACTCCCTCTAACAGGCTTGTCATAAGATTCTGCTTATGCCACCCAGAAATTCATAAGGATCCTAAGTGAGGTTTTCAAAACACCCCAATAAAACAGTTTGCTTATATTTTAACTTGCATTTAAGGTAGAGGGGCTGGAAGAGACAAATGTTTGTTGACAGAAATTGTGAGCCTCAATGCAATCTGAAAGTTTTACCTTGGGACTTTCTCTGCTTACTTAACCTTTAGTGAACTGCACCAACAAGAGCAGTCATTTCACTGCCACTATGGAAATAAAGGAGGTTAGACATCTCAAAAGATCCTTCAACACCAAGAGTAGAAAGGTTAGAAAGTTATGAATACACTTTCAATTTTCAAACTGAATTAGTTCTGATTTTAGAGCCCAAAATTTTATTTTGATTTCTTCAATGGATAAGGGCACAAAATAGGCAAGTTAAAAAAAAAAAAAACCTGAGGGAAGAGTAGGGCAACCAAATACTAGAGTCTACTTGACTTCCCCTTTGAAATAAGGGAAAGGTGAAGAAACGTGACAGCTCTTGGGCAACAGAAGTTCTCCCACTACAGTGGTTTTACAGCCCATGTTCCTACTCAAGCCTTATGCATATTAAGTCAGCTTTACATTAAAGCCATCCATAATTTAAAAATTCTTAGCATCAACCCTAGGAGTCATGTCGAAAACAGTTTCTCATCAACATCTTTTCCCACTTTGATTTTGGTTTCTCTTAAACTGAAGACTATATTTATGCTTGAATTAATGAACGTCTACACTCTTTTCCTGTTGAACAGTTTAACTTTCCCAACACACATATGGTGGTGTAGCCAAGCATTTCATGCTGTTTCAAACCACTGGAATCTTTTTCATATTTCTGGTCGTTTGCTACCACGGGAAAGTTGATATCTCACACAGTATAATAAAAGAACAATTTAAAGCCAGTTAAGAGACAGTATCCAATGAGATTTTTAATAGTAAGTTTGGTGAAGGCAGCAGAAGCAGGAAGAATGGGCTGAAATTTCAGAAACAGTCAATCTCCTGCAGATATTGGATCTGTTATTCAAAGCAACTGAGCGAGTACTGGAAAATACCAAATTAATGGATAATAAAACCAGACCCTCTAAGTGAGATAGAAACAATTGCCGACATCCAAATGTAATTTTATGAAGCTGCAATTTTTCATGATGTTAAACACTTATGGTTATTTATTTACAGTATAATCAAGTGTCTAGCAGAGATGGGTAAGAGAAGATCTGCTGCACAGTCCTACAGTAACAGCCTGTAAGCTTTAAAATAGATCACCTTTACAAGATATCCTTGATTTTAAACTTTACAATTTGAAACAGATTTGCCAACCGTTTCTCTTAGGGCTTGAGAAATTTCAATGCTATTTACATTTTAATAATCAAGTGAAAGTAACATTAGAAGAGTTCAACAAACATCTGGTTAAGCTTCTATGCCAGCTACAAGGCATATCACACATTTAGGAAAGCATGTTTTAGAATGAGATGGCTGTACAGTATTGGTGTTTGTGCTTTGTTTTAATTCTAATGCTATAGGTCAAGTTTTCCAGCAACACAATTACCCATGAGATCTAGTAAAATGCTTGAGCACTGTACAAGTTTGACAAAACCTTCAACTTTAATCTCCGAGATTCCTAAAATGCTACCAAGATTAAAATTAAGCGGTTTAGTCTCTTGCAATCTTGCTAGTTATGCCAAAGTCCTACGTACTGCACAGAAGCAAACTTTCCTGAAACGCCACAATCCAAACTTAACACCATAAACAAAACCATTACTGATCAAATGGACATCAAACGAGCCTTCAGCTGATACACGCCATAAGAGTGTAAGTTCTAGACAATAACAATCTGAAGAAAACTGCTTTAAGCTAGCAATCTACCCCACTACCACTAAAACACACTCAAAGGACAAAGCAGCACACACCAGCTGTGTGTCACAAATGAAGATCTCCAAAGAAATTACAATGAAGCTACAGAAGCCCTCCCACTCCCAAAGCACTCTGCGTACTCACCATCTGCAGGATTGCACCATATAAGCGCAGGAGTACCTTCCGCGGTTCATCTGCGGCTGTCTCAATGGTATCAGGTAGCGAGCACTGAAACAGCATGTTGCTGAGGCCACCTCTATCAAGAGAAAGGTAAGTTTATCAGCTACCTTGGATGAGCATACATATTCCACTTCCTACAAATTAGAGGCATGCTAATGATCCTTTTAGTATGATTAACCAATCTATTCTAACATGAGAAAATTTTCCAACAGTACCAATAACTCATGAGGCTTCAATTAAAAAATTGGCAGCTTCATGTTTCTCAATATATAGTTCTCCATCAAGATCTATTGATCCAACCTACAGCTCAAGCTATGAACAATCTGATATAATGCAACAGGCAAAGCCAAGAGGTAGACCTGTGTTAATTATTTTCAGGACTGCTAAGAAGTGATACTGGAGTCTTTTCAGATATACTTGGTTACACAAACAAGCTTAATCTGCTGTCTTCTTGCTTAAAACTGTACAGTGAGTATAAAACCTTAAGTTTGAATTCAAAGCTGGTATTACTGGGATGGCAGCTACAACAGTTTAACCTGAATACCTGTGCTACAGCACCGTTAACCAGTCTTACTTATTGTGTCACTTAGGGACTCATTTTCAGGTTTGAGATTTACAGCTAAAGCAGTTCTTTCCGATAAAGAAATTGCTGGTGTGTTTGTTGAAACTAAAGTCACCCTCAGAATCTTATCGGGTAAGAAACCAGGGAGTCCTGTGCTTGAGTCATTCAGGGGTTACACAAGTATGCTGGCTTTTCATACAACCCCTGTTTCACTCCAGTATTCTCACAGGAAAAAGCAACAGCATTTGTTTTCTACAGGTTTAACAAGCTCGACAGATAATAGAGAATTTCTAGTAGCCCACTAAGAACACCAGTCTACTCAACCCACATTTTCCTTACTCTTATCTTTTTGCATCCTATTCATTAGTAACATGTTCATTAAGGAAGCTTTCAAGTTTCCCTTCTACAATAGATTTTTCCTATTACTTCTTCCTCTACTATAAGAGAAAAAAGGATCAAAACTTCTGGTTTACTTGCACAGCAGAAATGCAAATCAACTCTACTGAAAAAAAATTGTCTTAGCATTAAAAAAAAACACTTTCAAAACCAGATACAACCCAAATATAGTAGCTAGCAGTAAGGGGAGGAGGTAGCACAGATGTGAAAAGGAAGTAATTTTACTTGTAACATGCTATATAACTTACTACTATTTAAATTAGAGTTACTGCATTATCTCTGTCACGTGATTTCTTCACAAAGTAATGAAGTTTTTCATGACACTCAAACGAATTATTTAACTTGAAGTGAGCTTTGATTCCAGGAATCCATGGCATATCCAAAATGCAGTTCTTAACACTGAGTGGACACTCCTCTCAAAGCTTTGCCAAATACTCTTCTGGGTTCTCTTACGACACAGTGGGAAAGTAGGCGGCCTGTATGTATTCACTGGGAGATGATACATTCCTGGCTTCATTTAAACCCTGCTAGACAGACATTTGCCACCTTCTTTAAGCATCTAATGTAGGCTTTGGTGAAAATATCAGTACTTAAATAAAAACTAAACATAGAAACCCACTTTACAAAAAATGCTGGACTAGAGCTCAAAATCCCAAACAAGTAGTTATGTTACTTATTTAAAACACATGCTCAGCCTGCATATAGTGCATGAAAGCCCAGAAACTCTTTTTTTATACCTCTCCAGCCAAACAGGAGTGTCTTACTGAGGCTGAACTCCATTAAACAGAAGTTTCACTATAGTTTTATGCACTTCAAGTTACCTCTAATCAAGGAAATCCCTAGGAGTCTAATAAAAGGTATTGTTCTGCTGGAAGGTCAGTAGACTCAGCAGCTTGTTTAAGGGTCAAAAGGGCACATCTCACTCTTACAGATAAAGCTACCAGTTACTTTACTGTTAAATTACTTGAAGGTAAACCCGTCCAAAAGGGGTCACCTATTTTCAACTCCTCCCATAGCTTTCCCCAAATCACAGGGCAGCAGTTAGATGAGCTCATACTCTGGCATTCTGATCAGATGCAGATCTATTTCTTTGCTCTCTAACAGTAAGGACTGACCCCTTCATCCTACGACACCAAGCACCTAACAGCTTTCATGAACATGATTTCAAACTCGTGTCAGCAAACCAGTATCATCTGCATTCTCTGCAGATAAAAGAGGTGAAGACTTTCACCAAAATAAATGCAACTGCCAATTAGCATGGTTTTACACGTTCAGTTTCAGCCCATCCTCTCTTCCTCCCAATCTAGAAACTGTCACAGCATTCTGAAGTGTCTCAAAGCAGAAGTTTCCAAGAACTGCAAGAATAACGGTGCTAAAACCCAAAGCTTTAGAAAATAAGTACCAAAGCCAGCAGTACACACTAATAAGGATGAAAACAGAGTTAAACAAATCAGATTACACACATATTATCAGACTAGTCTACTGTCTAGGAACAGTATCAGTCTTCTAAAAATTCTCTCCCTTCATAAACTTATGATCACATCAAGTGATGTAAAAATACAGGTCCTATCTGCACTGGCTTTCCAGTTTTTTTTAATGCTGCTTTAAAAATACATTTAGCAATGAGCATGATTGGGTTTTGATTTTACTTTTATATATGAAAACTCTGTCAAGAGTTTATGCTCTTTGCTAACTGGGGAGGGGAGATTTGCATGTATTTTGTGTGTCAACAACAGCAGAAACACTAGGAAAGCAAACTCAGGATTCAAGGGGAGAAGCCAACAACTGTATCCTTTGAAACTGCACATCACTCTACATTTGATCAGGTAGAATAATCAAGCATTAAGACACTAGACAACCAGTCTGTAAAAACCAAACTCTGAGTTGATACTGGTTTAGCTAGCATACAGGACTCATAGCAAGAAATAGATTATTTAATTTCACAGAGAAGGCCAGGATCTCAAACATTTTACTTCTAGAATATCCCAAATTTACATACTTCTGCTGCCAATGTGCTGAGTCACAAGCACTTATTACTAGATATGCTAAAAGATGATTCACAGAATGGTTTGGGTTGGAGGGGACCTTAAAGACCACCTCATTCCAACCCCCCTGCCATGGGCAGGGACCCCTTCCACTAGACCAGGTTGCTCCAAGTCTCATCCAGCCCGGCCTTGGACACTTCCAGGGATGGGGCATCCACAGCTTCTCTGAGCAACCTGTCCCAGTGCCTCCCCACCCTCTCTGGGAAGAATTTCTGCCTGATGTCCCATCTCAATCTCCCTCTTTCCATTTAAACCCGTTCCCCCTTGTCCTGTCACTACAGGCCCTTGTAAAAAGTCCCCCCCAGCTTGCTTATAGGCCCTTCAGGTACTGGAAGGCTGCATAAGGTCTCCCCAGAGCCTTCTGTTCTCCAGCCCAGTTCTCTCAGCTTGTCTTCACAGCAGAGAGACTCCAGCCCTTGGAGCATCTCCGTGGCCTCCTCTGGACTCGCTCCAACCAGTCGATATCCTCGTTATGTTGGGGGCCCCAGAGCTGGACGCAGTACTCCCGGTGGGGTCTGTGATGATTCACATCGACATACCGCATTTACCTGCTAACTCCTGGATTTCAGAACGGTCAGGGTCACACCAAAAAAGGCCCTTTTCTCCCGGGGGCGGGGAGGGGGAAACTCCATACTCGGTGTAGCGGTTTTTACCAGCTCCATCACTTCCACCGTTACGGCCCGCGGCCCCT